GCCCTTTGACTTGAGATGGAATGATCCTTTTGTGGGCTTCAAAATAATTACTATAAAGAAATAATAATTTATTTTCATTAGTAAGATTTTTATTTTTTAACTTTTTTTGTAAAAAATATTTTTAAATTTAAGAATAAATGATTGAGTCTGCCAAAGTTCTATATCAAGTTGAAGTTAGAGCAATGAGGTTGATTTTAACTGTGGATAAAAGAAAGAAAAAAAACTATAGAAGCTATAGCCTTCACAGGTTAATTATATTTGAAGTTTAAAGTTTCTCTTAAATGTCCTTTTCTTGTTTTACTCGATTTAATGCTTACAATGAATAAAGTTTTGAGTCTTCTTGATAGTTACTTGAAATGAACCTTTTTTTTTTGTACTTAGGTTGCAAAGTTATAGGAAATAATAACGGACTAATTGATCTTTATACTTTTAAGAGTTACATTGGGATCTCTATACTTATGAAAGTAAAACATTTAACCTCGTTTCTTCTTACATCATCATCGACTCTTATGATAAAAGTATCATAAAGTTTAATACTGAGTATGTGCTGACTCTAGTTTACTTTTGTTTACCACTGAACACGTGTGGTATTTCCATCAACAAAGTCGATAACATGAGAAGAAACATGGTTAAATATTTCACTTTCGCAAGTATACGGACCATAATGTGATTTTTGAAAATATAGATATTGAGATGTTAAAGGTAGCTAATTACATATTATAATTAGCTCAAATAATGACTTCACAAATACCTCAGCGTTATGTGAACAACACCTTAGCATCATATGAGACACCTTAATGCTAACTGATCGACATCTCAATATCACATCTTCATCATTTTTATACTGTACAGCTATCATGGTTTCATCTTCTATATGTTATCGATTATATCGTGCCTATCGTTGCTCGAATTTAGCACAATACATTTTTGCCTTATTTGAAAAATACATAAAATCATTCCCAATATCAACTCATGTCGGTAAGCATAACAATTTCTAAGTCACACTATAAAAAGCCCTCTAGTGAACACATTGAAAAACTCTCATTCAATCAATGGTTTTCTTTGTCACTCTTAATATTTTACTGACACCTCAACTCTTAAAGTAGCTTAAACATGAGAAGGATTTTATTCGATGCGCCCTGACACAATTTTGCGAGACCCAACACCTCTTGGATTTGATTACTCTCGATATCGACAAGAGACAAATGCAGAATAGAACATCAATTCGTTTTGAATCAGTATCTCTCAGACAATCAAATTTCAATTTAACACCTGCTTAGGTTCTTAGGTTCTTTCATAGACTGTTGAAAGCTTAATAGAATAATTAAATTGGGAAAAAGAAGGATAATTACCAAACTCAAGCAGCAGAACAGCTTGTGTCTAACCACTATATAATAACACAGTACATAGCAGCCTGCCAAGACATTGTCCTATGTCAAACTTTTTTAGGCTGTTTAATATTTCGGAGAACAATCAACAGACAGCACACAACTCAACATCTATAGAGATGTTGAACAGATTAGCATACATTATTTGATTAATACCTGCACCAAGTCATCATATAGAACAAGAAACCAGTGTAAGAAAAGCAACGTAGCAGAGGACTTAAGATATGTCCAACATGAAATATACAACAGTGGCCAAACTAACAATCTATCCCTCTCAAGGAATACTGATAAGCCCTTCTACACCTCTAGCCCTCCACATGAAGTTGATCAAAATTCCAGTCTCTAACTAGGTCCCTACTCACAGCTCGGCTTCGGAGGAGGCGTGGAGTTCCTGCCATTCCTTGACCTGTTGCCATCAAGGGGAATGGTGTCACTTTGGATGTTGAAATGGCATTAGCCGTCCCAGTGGCGACGGTGACCTTCCGAATTAAGCAGGTAACTGCAGCACATCGGCCCTCATCTTCTGAACTTGAGACAGAGTAACTCCTAAAGGATCGTGATGGACTATCCATGCTATGGCACACAAGACAAGCTAAACTCATTGCGGAGATACAGATGGCCACAGCAGAAACTATCATAACATAGGACAATTGTCACTGTGGTAACCTAGCACAATTGTTAGTAGGCATTTAAATAGATGTAAAAAATCACCAAGTGGTACCAACAGAGAACACAATAATTTTCACCGAGTTCATTCTGCAGTAAGACAGTGATTTGCATTCATGATATCTGCAGATTCTTTCCTTATGTGTTTCATGGAAAGTTTTATTTTATAAAAAATTAAAAAAAAAAACAAAATTAATAGTGAAGTCAACAGTTTGTGAAGTCATATGATATTTTATCAGTGTGAAGCCAAGGATAAATTTTTGGGGGAACAGAACTCGATAAAGTACAAACAAGAGAAATATGAAACTATAACATGTTTTTGCAAGAGAACTATTAAAACAACTACTGAAATCTGGATGACTTTGATTAGAAGATTTTACCTTTTTCTGATAAAATGTCATATTTTCTTGTGCCTAATTGGCCAACTATTTAACACATTGATTCTAGGGGGATGGGATGAATATCAAGGAACTATATGTCTAAACCCTTCAGAATGTATTCTAGACTGCCTTTTTCTTTTCCCCCTTTATGCATGGTACAACATTTTAAAAGGATTTATCAGGGGTTCTTCTTTTATTTAAATGATTTCAAAAACATATGAAATATTCATATCATTTAAGAAAAGGATATTTATGCTAGCCACCTCAATCCTTCAGAAGACAGAAGACCAACTACCATAATTATTTATCTATCCTTTTTGTTTCTTATGTAAGTTTCCTCCAGTTATCTCTTAATTTTCTAAGCAGAATTTCTTAAAATTATCAAAAATAGGAAACTGGATTTTTGGTAAATAAATTATTATGTTATGGTCAATACTCTGCTCCTCAACTGTTAATTTGAACTATATGTTAATTTAAATTGAACTGTATGTTAATTTACCAATACAGAAATTGGTAATTTAAATAACCAGGGTAATTTGAACTGTACGTTAATTTGAAGGATGAGTTAATACAGTTATGAAACCGATGTTGTTTAGCTGTGAATATTCCCCTTGGCAATTCAAGTCACCAACTTGATCCATCCAACTATACTAATAATGATAAGAATTTATCAGTTATCACAATACCCACATCCGGATAAACAATAAAACATTTAGTGAACACATTAGCTAATTAAAAGAATCTTCAGTTCAAGTATCCCTTGATATATCTTTTTTGTATCAACAATGCTCAGACTTCAAAATTTAAGATATTTTGGTGACATTATTAAAAAAGATTCTTTCTAATATCATACCATCTTTAAATATTTAAAGGTAATGCTGCGTGTATTGACCATCCTCAAATCCTGTATTGGCGGGAGTCTCAGTGCACTGTGTAAGCCCTTTCTAATATTCTACCATCTAAAGCTTATGAGCTTACATCATAACAGGATAATTAACACATTTTCCAAAATCTTTCCCATAATACCCCATAGCAATGCTGTATTCTCAAGTTCTTTAATATTGTTATATTTCTTATGCCAACTTTATGTTATATCAATATATAAATTTAAAAAAATGAGGTCCAGGAGGGCATCTGAATAATTTAAGAAGTATTCTAGCAATGGCATTCATGAACATTTACTTGGATAATATCTATACTTAAAGCTTCTTTGTGACTAGAGGCAGTGATCCAACATCTTTAAATTGGTTTTGATCTTGGACTGATAATCTGAGGAACACTTCATAGAAAAAAATAGATTGAAAGCATAAAACCTTAACCGAAGACCCCTTCTACTACCTTCAACCAATGATATTAATCTGAATTCTGAAAGATCCCAAAAAATAATCAATTACTGTATAACAATAAAAAGCATAATCAACTACTTGTAGATCAATAAATATTCAACATTGACCAAGTCATTCAGTCTCCACAAGTTACAAAGTAGCAGTCTAAGTGTAAGTATGTCTCCATGAGTTTCAAAGTAGAAGCCTAAGTGAAGAGGTTGCATAATCTAATTAAGGAACTTCCAGTAAGCAAACTAAAAATGATGGACGACTGTTTATCATCTTACCATGGTCACACTTATGAGAACTCCTAAGCTACAGCATCTATACATGTTAATGTTCTCACTAGATAATATAATTTATATGGGGTATAGATCAATAATAAGACATGTACATGACATATATAGCTATTGTTAATTAAATTATTGAAAAACTGAAAGCCCAATTTTAAGTTTGCCATACAAATGCAACAAACACATTTCTTTTTACTGATTGTTGCATCAATCTTTAAGAATGAGAACCAATGATGCTATATAAATTGAATGTGCATAATAATGTAGGAATTGAGAAGGAATGAGAATGCAAAATATAATGGTTTGATGATGAACCATATGTATCTGAAATTATCCAGATATGTATTGCATATACTTATTGTTGATTTTGTTGTAGTCTTTATTTTTTTTTATTTGTGTTTATTTTTCGGAAAATGTATTACCAATTCAGTTTTTTTTAATCTTTTTGAAACAATTGTAGTTTTTTTAACAACTTAAGCTTGACGGCTCATTTCATATACATGCTTGAGATAGAGTACAAGTTATTTAAAAGATAAACAAACTATTAACAAGTTGAACCTAGTCCGAGCTATGACTCTCCTAAAATAAACCGACTCAAGCTTCAGCATCATTTCAAGTTTTCAGCGGCTTGGCTGAAGCTCTATTGTAACCCTAATTTTGAGAGAGATATAGGTAGTTTAAGGATTATCATGATGATCTTGCTTCTTGATATGGGATCACATAAGGAATCTAGTTAAATGATTCTAAGGGTGAACTTTAACTTCATGATAGAATTGCTGTTTCTCGACCTATGTAACCAAGATTCGAGACATTGAAAATTGAAACCTCCTTACTTGCAGGGTAAGGCTGGTTACATTGACCCTCACCAAGCCCTACATTGTTAAAACACTCATGCATTGGGTGTCACTCCTTAGTCAAATATGGTTTTTCCCTACCTCCCTGTAGCAACCATCATTCCTAGATCAAAGAGTTGATAAGTATTAAAAGATCATAATTAATTAGTTAAATATATACTGGAGTCTTATAGAAGTCAAGCAAGTGCTAATCCAATTTTTATTTCCAAAAAAGGTCACTATAATGTGAACAGAAAGATTATAATGGCTTCATGTGCATGAAAAGGCTGCTTTAAGTAGCTTGGCACTAGCTTTAATTTTTTGTGCACTTTTCATTTCTAAATGCCTTTTTTCTTTTTTAAACCTTCATTTATAACCCCAAACTTTTCTATTTGTGCTTGTCCATTACGTAAAGTTATTTTCTATTTCATAATGTTTTTTGTGACTGTAGTAAAATGTAAATTAGAATAAGAAAACATAACTGAGCCACTACAACATCCAATATGGTGTCAAGCAATAAGTACTGCATATGATCTTATTTTTCTTATTGTTATTGCTAATTTTCCCCACACCCCAACATATAGTGGATTTTACTTATTTTAATTTCAAAATAGAGCATCTCCTTCGAAGGCTGCTAAAATTTTCTTTTTTTCTTGAGCTATAAATAAAATAAAAGAATACCGTAGTGAATCCAAGACGATAATTTCCCTCCTATAGTATTATTAGTCTCACATGTTGTACAAGAATAATATAACAATAACAAAACCATAAGATCCAACTATTTGGGGTCAGTTACATGGATCTTTTGTCTGCACTATGATCTGTAAAAAGTCATATGTTTAATTAAGTTCAGAGTACTTAAATCTTTATTTATAATTTCTATTAAAGTTTTTTTAGGTCATCCTCTACCTCTTCTAGTACCATTAAGATTAATCATTTCATATTTTCTGACTATCGCATTCGGAAACCTCCTAAACATATGCCCATATAATTTTAAACTATTTTCTCTCATCTTATTCTCTAACGAAACAATATATAGTTATTCACGAATAAAATTTTTTTTTTCCTATATTTCCTAGGAACTCCACACATCCATCTTAACATTGTTATCTCGACAACATAATTTTTTTATATTTTTTTTTAACTGCCCAACACCCAGATCTATAAAGTATTGTTGATTCATAACTATCTTATAAAATTTTTCTTTTAATCTCAAAAATCTCCGATGATCACACAAGACTCCTGAAATTTAATCTAGAGTAAGATAGTCAGATAGAACTCATAAAAATATCTTAAAAAGAGTCCAATCTAATATCTAGTTGATAGTAAATAGTAAGCTTGATCAGATTAAAGAACATATGAACAAATGAAATAGATGATAAATAAGCAAGAGAAAATTGAATAGGTCCACATTTTGCATCAATGTCAATGATCAATCAGTCACTGACTAAATAACATAAAAAAATAATTTTTAACATTTCTTTTCAAGAAAATACAAATATAAGAATTAATTATTGAAGGTCCTAAAGTCAAGGTTAAATAACAAAATGATGATGAAAAGAAAATCAGCTATCGCCCACACGTTACCAAAACGAAAACAGATTTTAGAGTTGATAAAACTAACTTAGCAATGACTGATGAAGGAATTTCACAAGAGTGATTAATGGTGCCAAATTTACACAGTTCTACAAGATGGTCAAGATTATCACCCAATTTGGTGGGATACAATCATCAATCTTAATATCAGAGTTGATCAAACTAAAGGAATAGTTTCAATCAACCTATCAGATTCTAGAATCTTTCTTGAAATACTTAAAAAAGGGCATATCCAATGCACGAGGCTCTCGCCAATATGGGATCCGGAGAGGATCAATGTACTAAGTCTTATCTTAAAATATTTAAATATACTATTTTCGTGACTCGATCCTTGGTCTTCCAGGTTGCAAAGGAATAATCTTATCGTTGTACAAAGGCTCGCCATGCACGCACACTTCCGTCTATATAAATATCTTTCACTGCTCAATTATGTAATAATATCCATCTTTTCCTCTAACATTCTGGGTCATATAGTCATATGTTATTACTTTTCCCAACAAATTGTATTATCTTGTACCATGAACGAATTCAGATACTGAGTTATTACCAAATAGTTGGTCTCGTTCTGCAGCTAATCAGGGGCATCTATAGGCAACAAAATTCCGCCACAATTATCAATAAAAAATAATGTGGCAACTCCGGCAAGCTGTTCACCCACTATACCCAAAAGATCCACAGGGCATCAGTCCAATCATCCCATCAATCATCAAAAATCATATAAATTTATCACACGTGACGAAAACCGACGAACAGCAGACAACATAATCTAACAAATCTCAAACGGATTTCACGTCGAAGGGAGGGGGAAGAAGAATACTCTAAGAAACAAGAAAGGAAGGTGGAGATGGAGATCGTCCGATCAGAATAACTTAATGAATCGGAAAGATGAAACGACCAAACAGCTTTCTGCAGCAATCATCAAAGAGCAACATGTTTCTTGATCTACTGCACATGGAATAAAAGGTGCAATTTTTAATTTCTGATCAGTGGGGAGAGAGCGAGCGAGGGGATGCTTACCTTGCAGAGGCGTGCGAAAAGCTTTCGAGCGAGCGTCACTGATGTGCGAGAGCGAGAGATGGGGAAGGAACGAAGGGGATCCAGAGAGAGAGAGAGAGAGACGTGGGTGGGGATCCGGAAAAGGAAGGGCCGCCACGAGACGATTGTAACCCATTTGCGTACATCGACGGTGATTCACGGAACCACTCAAGAAACGATTTAAGCCACCCTTCTGGAAACGCGACACGTCTTCCGACTCGTGCCTTTGGTCGTGGGTTTTGGTGGACCAGACATGCAACATTTATTGGGACTTCTCTTGTTTGCATGAACTAAGGTTCGTTGACGCCAAGTCAAATGTGTAAACGCGTAATGGTTCGATGGAGACGAATAGGAAACTTAAGTCAATTACATGAGATAAGGGCCAATTCTATAGTAGGGTCAAGGTGGTTATTTTGGTAAATTATTTGAAACAGAGACAGTGCAGCAGAAGGTGAGGTAATAACATTTTTAATTCATCTTCAGTTTTTGTAGTATTTTGTTTAAATGATATTGGATGGTATATATCATGATACCATTAGTAATATCAATCAAGATTTATAACTGTGATTTGATATAGTATGAACAATATTTATGGTATCTAAGAGATTTTGATATATAAAACAAGGTAACATGACCTATATACGTTGGATACAGGACATGTATCACTTCCTATATTGATTGTTTATTTTTTATCTTTTTAATTTTTTAGTTTTTTTTCGAGACTCTGATATGTACCAATGTATCAACATTTGATGTACACAAACTTATGAATCATAATATAAACTTTCTGTCAATCTAATTTATTACGAATATCACTATTATAACACTAATAATTATATAGACAAAAGTACTTGAAAATCTAAATTGAATGCTTGGTCTTTATTGCTTCTTTTGGTTTCCAATACAGCTTCATGAAGAATACTCAAACTAAATTTCCATCTTAAAGGTGTACCCAAATCTCATAATAACATTTTAAAATAACTACTATGATGTGGCATGGGAAAGGTTGAAAGAATACAGACACATTGCAAGACAATTGGCTACTTGTAGCCTTCATCACTGTTCTAAAATCGAACCCAACATCTAGTGCACTGAGCCATGCAGTCTCCCTTACAATCCACATTGTAGCCCAAAACTTTAGGATTCCTAATAAGAAGATTACGAAGAGCTTGCCCTTTGATTCCCCAATCCTTCTCCAGCATGTCAATGTTAGTCTGCACTTCATCAACTAGACTGCATCCAAGCACCTCAGGAAACTTCTTCAGTATTTTGTATAGGTCCTCATCATTAAGGCCCAAACCTTTGATGTAATCCAACATCTCATTTACCTTTTGTACCTTTGGAACTTCCTTGCTTCTTTCTTCCCCCCAATAGGGTGAATGAACCCAGCCAAATGCCTTTTTGAGAATGGAGTCTGCTTCCTCAATCGAAAATTTTAATGTGGAGAGTATTTCTGTGCACGTCTCCCATGTTTTCTTCTGTTCGTCTTCTAATAGAACTGCTTGTACCTGTTCAACTGAGTGTATCCTCCACTTTTTCGAAGTGCAACTTAAATTACAACTGTTGTTTCGGCTTGCACTCATTCGAACAATGGGCCTGAATCCACATGATGATTTACATATAGGCAGCACCAAATTTGGTATTGGAATTGAAGTATCCAACTGGAAAAAAGCAAATTTATGACAGTCAAAATATCATATATGTAACAGATTTGATTAAACACTAGTAATATGATAAGTGGTACAATTGGTACACAGATAAATTAATATATCAGACACTTTGTTTTGAGTCTTTTGACTGCCATGCATGTCTCAAACAAATGCCCAAAGTTAATCTTCTGGATAGCAGGACTCAGATGAGGGAGGAAAATAGATCTTATACAACGATGCAAACTCATTTTAGTTTAATTAATTTATAGCATAAACTGTCATAAGTGATTTTCTACTTGTTGTTATGGTTTAAATCACAGAAATATCGTTTCTACTTGTAAGGAAGGTTGAGTATGTTGATCCTCCCTAGGTGTAATATCGGTAGAGATGATGCATATACATTAACTCTCCTCAGATGCATATTGGCAGAAAACTCATTCACTAGGTTTGTCCTATTTAATTATTGATAAATTTCTCTCTCTACGATATGCAACAACGAGGCAAAAGTTAATATCAAATGAGAAGGAAGTCGTAAAAAAGGATGTACCAAGAGAGAGCAGGATGCTGAGTATTCATGGGTCGGTAAAGTCACTGCTGATGATCGCCCCAACATTCCTAAACAAACAGACAAGTGAACGTTGAGAAAAATGATAAAGAAAGCAATAACAAGGAAAAATAGATAGGTTTCGTTGGAAAATAACTACAAGGGAAGAGCTAAAAGACCTGCACTCCAACAACAATTGACTGTCCAGAAATTAAAATTTTAATCTTAATCAAAACCCAGAAAAGCACAATACAAGGGGTTAAATACAATCTCCTATTTGTTAGCAGTCATAGCTTTTAACATATCATAACCAAATTAGAAAAACCAGATATTTCAGTAACTCTATCACGAGTTGCATTTCACTGTATGTCGTAAATATACATATATGCCTGAGATCCCAGAAAAACACATAACAAGAGTTAAACTCAATCGCCTATTTCCTTGCAGAGTTGTAGTTTCTATCATAACCAAATTGCAAAAAGCAGATATTCCAATAACTCTATCACAAGCTCCATCTCACAGTGCACAAACACACATATACACATCAGATTGTATGCATGTATAATTGGTTATCTACATTTATAAAAGTAACTTCCTATTAGGTTTGTTTCTTCAACTCTCAGGTCATAAAGCTTTTGTCTCCTTTTAATCTGGTTGAGTTTTCTACAGTAAAGCAAACATTGTCCAAAAGAAAAGAAGATAAAATGACTTCCATGAATGGTGATGGATGCATCACCTACGACTACAAATCAATCCACATGAAGGTAAAAAAGACTTCAAGGGAAATTAATGTTTTCATTATGAGTTTCATTTCTTCAAATTTGTGTATCCTCAGTTGTGTCTTGCTTCAGTCTTTTCCACCTTGTGACCTCCTACTACTCACTTATGGAGTTTGACAAGAATAAATGCTTCGAAACTCCTACAGAATTACTTTAGAAGATACCAAATGTTGTTAAACTAAATAATGGGAACTTTTTAATCTTTATTGCCTTCAGATACATTTTTCCTATGTACATATTATTTGTATTGCAGAAAAATATAATCCATGGTTAACCCCTCTAATTGTCTCCTTCTGCACAGCCCTTTTGTATCTTGTTTGCATCATTCTAATTTGTGCTTGAATTGCTAAAGAAATAACTCCTACCATTCACCAATGGCAACACTCCTAAATGTATCTGCCCTTGGTTTAGAGTTTAGACACAATATCAAATGGAATCTTCAAGGTTGATGGTTAATCAACCTGTATTGACAAATTTCAAACAGAATATCATCTTCATAATTCTTTGAAGGACACAATAAGCATTTCTGTGGAAATAGTAAGTCAGTGTACAATAAACATTCTCAGTTAACCGTAGAATGCTATTTGGTGCGTCCCACACAGCTTTATATATCTAAAAAGTGTGGGTAAAGTAAATTGTACAATTAGCTTCTTACAATGAAATGATGAAAAAGCTATTTCACATTGTTAAAAAAGGAAGAATGTTCCAATACATCAAATGGCGTATATGACGCTCACACGTGGATTCAAACCTGAGACTTATCACTTGTGCAACAATGCACTAACCAACCCGGATGTATAAACAGAGGCACTCTCATATAGTTTAAAACTTTAAATCACCCCTCCTAAATAGCATAACTCTATTAATAAAGTTAGAAGTAAGAATGTGTGGAAAAACAAAGCATGTTTGTAAGAAGATAGACTAACGAAAGAAAGAATGTGAAGTGTAAAGGAAAGAGGATTCTCCAACAATATTCTAATTTTAATTTGTATTATAATTCTGCACAAGGTACTTGGGAAATGACATCACTGCATGGAAATACAAATGTTTAAATCGAATTTACATCCAACAAAGAACTTGAAACAAAAATAAATGCTTATCTTACTCCTGTATTCCCTAAATGAACCTTGAATAAATGATCTATGGAGCTTTACTTCTTGATCAAAATTCTAAAGGTGAACTTTAACTTCATGATAGAATTGTTGTTTCTCGACCTACGTAACCAAGATTCGAGAGATTGAAAGTTGAAACCTCCTTGCTTGCAGGGTAAGGCTGGTTACATTAACGCTCACCAAGCCCTACATTGTTGAAAGACTCATGCATTGGGTGTCACTCCTTAGTCAAATATGGCTTTTCCCAACCTCCCTGTAGCAACCATCATTCCTAGATTGAAGAGTTGATAAGTATTGAAAGATCATAATTAATTAGTTTAATATATAATGGAGTCTTATAGAAGTCAAGCAAGTGCTAATCCTATTTTTATTTCAAAAAAAGGTCACTATAATGTGAATAGAAAGATTACAATGGTTTCATATGCATGAAAAGACTGCTTTAAGTGGCTTGGCACTTATTATAGCTTTACTTTTTTTTAGCACTTTTCACTTCTAAATGCCTTTTTTTCTTTATTAACCCTTCATTTATAACCCCAAACTTTTCTATTTGTGCTCATCCATTACATAAAGTTATTTTCTACTTCATAACATTTTTTGTGACTGTATTAAAAAATAAATTAGAATAAGGAAACTTAATTGAGCCACTACAATGTCCGACATGGTGTCAGGCAATAAGTAATGCATATGAACTTATTTTTCTTATTGTTATTGCTAATTTTCCCCACATCTCAACTCATAGTGGTTTTACTTATTTCAATTTCATAATAGAGCATCCCCTTCATAGTCTACTAATTTTTTTCCTGAAATATAAATAAAATAAGAGAATACCATCGTGAATCCAAGACAATCATTTCCCTCCTATTGTATAATTAATCCCACATGTTTTACAAGAACAATACAACAACAATAACAACAAAATCGTAAGTCTTAACTATTTAGGATCAGCTATATGGATCTTTTGTCTTCATTGAGATTTGTAAAAAATCATATGTTTAGTTAAGTTTAAAATACTTAAATCTTTATTTATAGTTTCTATTAAAGTCTTTTTAGATCTTCCTCTACCTCTC